AGATTAATATCACATTAGATGTTATCATCGTTATTCTAAGCTTTATTAATATGATTATTGTAAGTATTATCTATTATTGCTACTGATAATTGCCAAATATTTCATTATATCAGTACATTAAAATAATATCACTTTCGATTATCGCTGCTTTTTTATTTTACCTTTTTTTTAAAAAAAAAGTAAATATTTGTATAAAAAATATTTCTTGAAAATTAAAAATCACGAGGTAGAAAAAATAAAACTTTTGAAAAAAAAATTTTTTTAAATAAAGTAATTTTTTGTGAAGAAAAGAAACATAAGGTGAAAAATTTTTTTAATGATATCTATTTTGATAAGATAAGCATTATATAAATGAAATAACTGCTACCTGCTTATGGTTTATTTATATTCGATAGTTCAAATATATATGAATTAAAATTTTGCTTTTGTCCCAAAAAGCTTCCTCTGACTTAAATTCAGGATTAAGCAGAGATAAATCCGCTTCTTATGTTGCAAAATTAAACATTTCCAACAACTTTTATTTGTTCATCATATTTCGTTGCATATCTTTCTTCCCTATAATTTAATGATTAATGATCAAATTAAATTATTTCACATTGTTTTTTCATGCAAAAATTTTCAGCTGAATTTTTAAATTTTTATCATTTTTATAACTTTTTTTTCACTTCAATGACAATATTAATCGTTTGAATTTAAATAAAATAAATCAAACTCGTTTTTTTTTTTAGTAATAAGTAGCAACAAATATTTGCAACTTCCAAAAATATTATATTAATAAACTTCTTTTTCTATTAATCAGTTAGGAATATTAACAAAATATTTTAATTAAACATATTAACAAATGTAAAATTATTAATCAAATTAAATAAAATGATGATGGTTTCAAACATTCTCAAATTGCTTTTCTTATTTTCCGACTTCAGATTCTTTTTTACTACTTTAGGCAGCAAATTATTGCAATCAACAATAAAATTAGTTTGTATGAGTGTGCAGTTTGTATGAGTATTTTATCATACTTTTATTTCACAATATGTTGACTGATAATATGGTTGATAATATTTACAACTTGATAATGATAGTTGGATTATCCTTCGATAGGATCAAATTTCTATGTTTGTTCTGGAAAATGAACCAAATATGCTAAAATAAGTCTAACAAATGGAAATGTTGAGTTCAGCAAATAAATATTTGTTATACACGCAAATATAGAATTAATACCCATTTGGGATTGTTCAAAAAACAAAAAGAAAAAGGAAAAACTTGATTGAGGACAAAAGACAAATTCGACAAAGTAATATCTGGATGATCATTAAAAAACTAAAGAAATTCTTTTAATAGCAAAAAAATTTTAACTGTTAATTTCAAATTATGTCTAAATTAAAAAATCATTAAAAATAAAATTGATAAAAGGAAATTATAAATTATGGCTATGATATTGAAAATGAGATCATCAATAAAAATATATGATATGACAAAATTTGCATTTTTTATTAATGTTTTTGAAATAAATGTGAAACAGAAATAAAAAACAACAGAATGTCTTAAAAGGAAACAAAGAAAGAGTTTATTATTTCACTTATCATCAATCAAATGGCTCTTTCTATTCAATTAGTTTTTTAATCTGATGGCAATAATGTTAGGATTGTTTCTGTTTTTTTTTTTTTTCTTTTGCTTTAAAAATATTTTATAGTGGTGACAGCATAAATTGGAATAAAAAAAAAAATAGAAAAATTATGAACGATGAGAATAATGAATTTAAAATCTTCTGGGAATTTTATGGTATGAATTGATGAGGAAAGAGGAGGTTGAGGGAGGGAAAAAACAAAAACTTCACTATGGTAATTGGGAAAGCAACTGAATTCTCATTATCATAAGTGGTGATCAGTTGAATACGAAAAAAGGAAAAAAATAAAAGACAAAAAAAAAAGGGAAAGAAAAAAAAAGAAGCGAAAAAATCAAATAGTCAGTTTAAAATCTTGCATTTATGAGGGGGAAGGAAAGCAAATGAAATATCATTTGAAAAGTTACGAAAAGATAGAAGAATAATTGAGAAATAATCTCATTGTTGTTTGATATTCTGGAAAAAAAGAAATGAATTTGATTGATTATGCAAATATGATGTTTCATAAAATTTTTATAATAATAATAATACAAAAAAAAAAAAATGAAAATAATAATGATAATAATAATATTATTATTGTTAATAATAAGTAATAATAATATAGCAATTACATAATCGTTAAAATTCAAATACTTTCAAAAAATGTCATGAAAGTTTAATTTTACCTTTAATTTTACCATAGTGCAAATGTCCTGATAACATCGGGTTCATTGTTAATTGCAAAAAATTATTTACTAGCGCTTATTTGAGATAAACCAAAAATGAACTATGATTTGATATTGAACAGCTGCAAACGAATCGTTAAAAATTTATTTCAATTTCGTTTTTCTTTTTCTCTCCCTCTCTCTCTCTCTCTCTTCCTCTATTGCTATATCCTTCTTTTCCTAAAAAAAATAAAATAAAATAAAAAATAAATATGTGCTTGAGAATGTAGAAGCGGCATCTTGTTATAAGAGAAAAGATTAAATATGATATTGAGGAAATGATCGATTTAGATGTTTGATGAAAATCTGTAGAAATTTTTAAATTTAAAAACCTTTTTCTGTCATATTGTTTGATTTCAATTTCTTCCTCTTTATTTACTCATACAACATGTTAAAAAATAATGGAACATTTGATCCTTCTCACTCATACAAAACAAATCATCTGATGATGATATTTGATAAAAAGTAAGAATTCCATGTTTTAATATCAAGAAATAAATTAATAAATAAATAAATAAACAACATGAAACAGTTTAGTAAAATGAGAATGATTCGATAAGAAGTTTTTTTAAGAAATCAAAAGTAACATTTAATTGTGAAGTGAGGAAAATAAAAAGAAAATTATGCTTAAAATCACATATCGTATTTTCACTTCATTGCTAACCTTATTTTTTCTTTCGGAAAATTTAAAAAACAAAAAAAAAAGTGATTTTACTATTTTTTATCTTTTCCTTTTTTTATCAGTAAAAAAAATGTTAGCATATCCTTTCATCATTTCCGCGTTGTTTTCTTTTCTAAAACTTTTATTGATTGTTCCCGTTCTTTTTTCTGTAGAAATACAGCACTTAAAGCAAGTTTTTCACAATGCAAAAATAAATTATTTTACTAGTAATTTAGTAAAATATGAAAATTGTCTTTGAAAAATTAAAAAAAAAAAAAATCCATATATTAAGTAAAAAGAAAATGAAAATTATTTAGATCAACTATATTTCTCATATCCTTTTTTTTCCATGCCTATATGAATTAATAAATAAAAGATATTATTGAAGTTTTCCACATACAACTTTAAGAAGCAAATGATAAAATGATGATAACATTTGCAACTACTTCAAATTTTTAATATTTAAGAGATTCAAACTGATTTAAAGAAAAAAAAAAAAAAAAGACAAATACAAAATTTTATTCACAACTGTTAAAGAGCTATAAATATTTTTTTGGTAAATGTTATAGTATTTATCAAAAAGGGAAAAAAAAAGGAGAGAGAGACGGAAACAGGGATAAAACGGAAAAAAAACACAGCAATTTATGTAAAGCCAAGTTATTTAGAAGCGATTTCCCAGAAGTGCATTTTGCCTAACATTCATGAGCTTCAAATATGACTGTAAATATTATATTTTAGTTATTCGATCCAAAAATTATTGCATTTTTTTTTCCATAAAAAAATCGTTTTTAATTTTATGCTTAATTTAGATATTAAAATATATATAAACTATGTAAGTTTATATACTTCATTCTTCATTTTTTTTTTCCTTTTTTTAAACAAAAAAAAAAAAAAAAACGAAGCAAAAAGAATAATCTTATAATGTATATTGTCTTCTTTTTTTTTTTTTTTTTGAATTAAGAATATTTTAAGCATTTTTTGTGTGTTTTTTTTTTCCTTTTTGCTTTGAATTTAAAATTTAAAAAAAAAAAAGTTTATTTTATCACTTTATCTTCTTTCTTTTGATACTATTGAAGCATTTCATATGTAATAGCAAAATAGAATAATTTTCTAGTGAAATGTTTTCTGTTTCTGTATAATTAATCTACTTCAGGTGAGATGCTAATATTTTATGAGGATGCAGTTGTAGTAGTTCCAGATTTTCAATGCTGTATCATTTTGTTGCAGTGTAAGAGTGATAGTAAATTAGACTCACCATCGACACACCTAAATCAACAAGTAGATATGATGGAAAGGATTGATTAAATGGCTAACATTCTGAGCTTCTTTCATTTAGGAAAAATAGTAGTATTATTCGATTGCATTCTCGTTTTAGACTGTTTCATTAATTTAGCATATAAAATTTTTAGGTAGTTTTAGCATTCCTAATTATATTACACTTTTTTTATCCTTTTAACTTATTAATGTTATTATGTAACATAAAATTTTAAATGAAATAACAAATAATTCCAAAAATTGTTTAAAATTTATTGTTCTATAGATATAGAATAATAAATTCAATAGTTATCATAATAAAAGTAGTTGGAGTAATTTTTTTTTCTCTTTCTTTTTTTTTTTTTGCTTTCTTTTTCTTTTGATTAAATCAAGTTGAATATTTTACTTTAACCAAATATTTATCATTAGTTTATTAATTAGACATACAAATGGCGTATACTTTGTAGGCATATAAATGTTCCCGTATGATCTGTGGGCTATATCTATACCTATATATAATAAGTAATATATAATATATATTTGACTTATATATAAATACATATTAAATATGCAAATGTATATAATATATAAATATATATGCATAGGTCGACGTGGATATGAATATACACATTCCAGGTCTAAACAGTTAGCGCTCTTAGCAACGCCCTATTTTTCTAATTTCTTTCTTATAAGTATGCTTTTAATGGTTGTCGAATGGTGAAACATGTATTGCTAGTATCAGTTCATATTTTATATTTTAATGACACCATTGATTATGGATCCACAAACATTGGATCAAATCGTCATGATAAAGTAAGTTGGCATTTATTGTAATATAATTTGTTCCCTTTTTTTTTTGTTACTATTTTCTCTTTTCCTTTCTTCAGTTTCTTCTCATTCTGTCATTTTCATATATTAAAAAAAAAAAAAAAACTTTTCCAGAAACTATTACTTTTATTTCTAATCTTTGTTTTAGGAGAGAAGAAAAAAAATGAGTGAATAGCACTATTATCACATGTAATTCATTTAATGATAAAAAATGAATAAAAATTGTTTGATGATAAGTTATTTGATAACAGTAATAATAATAATCAGATATTAATTGATGTAGTGGTGATAAACAAAATGAAATTTTTAAAAAATGTTTAACATTGTTTGTTGATCCATTTACTTGTTTCTCCCTCCCTCTCTTGAGTCGTTTTTTCTTTGCTCTTTTTTTTTTTTTTTTTTTAACAAAGTGACGAAGGGGTGGATCTGGGATGAGCAAAAGTTGTTCGAGAGTACTTTTTGTGTCTTGTTTTCTTTTTTTTTTAACTCTTTCAATGACAGTAGAAAGGATAGCCTAGTATTTGGCCGGAATTTTAGATGAAGTAAATTGGAACGCTTTATGGCAAATAACCTTTTTTTCTCCATTCCAGGATATATTATAATAGATTATTGATATAGCAAGCATGATGTATTGTTATTAATTAATTAGAGCAGGAAATTTTTTAACATGTGGCATTTTAATCTCAATTAACAGTGAAGTAAATAAGTATTATTATTATTGTTGTTTAAAATATTGCATTCCGATTGCTTGTTAATTGTTAAAATTTTAATTTTTTTTTTTTTCTATAGGATATACTTTTTTGTCATTTTTCTTATTTTGTTTACTCTCCAAATTTTGCATCAAATAACTGTTATTTTTAAAACTCAGAATACTTAATTTTTATTTGATGAAAAAATGAAATGATTAGGTGTAAGGAAAGGAATAATTTGGACTTTTAATAACTAATGTTAACAATAATAGTGTTATGTAATAATAACAATTAATGGCAATGATAATGATTATGATAATAATAATTGGCATGTTGCTTCATCAAAATGATTCAAAATCGTTCTGTCTAGTTATTTCAGAAAATATATTCGATATCAATTTTTACGAGAAATAGAAAAGGCTAAAAATTCAGAAATTAATTGAAATAGCTTGGCGAATAACACTGTAAGATTATGTATTCCTATGATTATGCAAAAGTTAAGTTTTATGAGTTGAAGCATTGCATTAAAATGGTCCAATCTTATATCACTAATTTAACTATATCACCACTTCACTTAATGAAAATCAACTCGCCTAGTGCGATGAGAAATAGTTAATATTCTGCAATGACATTTTCTATTTTCAAATTTCTTCTTGATGCTATGAATAAATTCACAATGCTTTAGCATTTTTAGTTTCAAATGGATATTATTGATCATCCATATAATAGGCTGCCTGAATAAGCTTATCAAGTTGAACAATTATTTTGAAGTTAATACAACACGAATTTATAAAAAGCAAATATTATAAATTTAACACAATTTTCATCCAAAAAAGACATGGTGAAAAACAACCAATGAATAATGAATTCTGGAATTTTTTTTTTCGTTTAATTTGTTTAAAATATTTAAAATACTGACTTGAGAACGAATTAATTCTTCTATGTTTTTATTTCACTCTGTTTTGACTTTTTAACTTGCCCATCACTTGATCTAACAAACAAGAATGTAAGCAAAATAGAAAAATAATGATTTTCTCGTTTTTTTTTTTCCTTTCAGATCTTTAATTTTTTAAACATGAAAGAGCATTTTGTTCCATTAACGAAACTTCAATTAACGTCTGCTTTTAGTGAAGTTGTAATTATGTATTTGTGAACACTTATGTATTTGATCAATTTGATGACGTAAACATACAGATTTGCGAAACTTTTTCAAATCATCTGAGAAATAAAAAAAAAAAAAAAAATGAAAAGTGAAAAGTCAAGCAAAGTTTTTAAGCATATTTGAAAATGCAATATATTATCTTCAAACTTTGTATAGTTGTAAATCACAATTTAATTGCATTTTTTTCTTAAAAAAAAAGAAAACAAAATAAAGTTAAATTGTCCAAAATTGTGTTTGTATGATCTATTCATAATGCTCTTGATGCATTTTTCGTCCATTTAAATCACAAAATAGCTAGACATATTCTTTAACAAAAAAAAAAAAAAAAAAGCGAAAATAATTTTTTTTTTAAAAGATTTGTTTTCATGATTCAATACGCTTTCAGAGTATTGTCGTCTAATATGGATTATGTTTAATTTTAATTTATAAAATTTCAAAGCTTAAATGTCAAAGGAGATTTCATTTTTATAGCTATTAAAGAAATCAAAATTTAAATCTTCTGAACAGTGATCATTAGCATAAAGCATAAAAATGACGTTTTAGCTATCAACTTTTTTTTTTTTTTTTTGTTTTAGAAAAGTGTAATTTGAGACTAATCAAAATGTTTCAATCCCAAAAAATAAAAAAAAAGCGAAAAAAAGAGAGTAAGTTGTTTGTACCAAATGTTTATTAGCTACAACAATTTGTAAAAATATGTTTAAAAAAAAAAGGAAAAAAAAAAGGGAAAAAGTGAAATCAATAATGTGATGAATAATAACGAACTTTCAGTGAAAGGCAACAAAGTGGCCGTGTGATGGAAGTTGAAGATCAGGGACGACCGTATTCTGATGTCGTACTAACTATATCAGCACGGTTTCCTTATTTCATTATTTTAATATTTCTAAATTTGTAGATGTGAAAATGATTTAGCATTCTGAAATTTAGAATAGAATATTAAAAGGTGAAAAAGAAAGAACTATTATTTTATACGGAAATTTTTAAATTTAAAAAACTTTTTGATTTTAAAATACATTAAAAATAATTGTTTAGTGATATCAAAGATGTTGATACAGATTCCTACACTGATCCTTTTTGTATTGTAAGCGAAGCAAGTGCTGGATTAGTCAGATGTAGAACATGGAAAGAAATTGGGCGAACAGAAGTAAACATCAATTTTTATATTTTATTTGTAGCATAGAATTATTCAAAAATTTTCAATAATTAGCAATTATATTGTCAAAATTAATCATACAAATCTAACAAAATACTAAAATTGCATTTTATGCATATGAAATTATTCTCCACGATCTAATCATATATGCCTAAAGTTTAATATATATTTTTAGGTGATAAATAACTGTTTGAATCCTGATTGGGCAACAAAAATACGTATTGCATATTTTTTTGAGGAACAACAACGGATACTTTTTGAATTGTATGAGAAAGAATTATTTCAAGTACTTCTGATAATAGCATGATTATTTTGAAAATGTTATAATTACTTTTGCAAATAATATAATATTTAATTTTTCTGTTTTTTCCCCTTCCTTTTTTTTGTTTTGTTTTGTTTTGTCTTTTCTTTTTTTTGAGATGATACAAAGATTTGTTTGATCAAGCGAACAAACTAGCTATCTTTAGTTATTCTCGTAATCAGTAAGCCGAATATCCATACTTATGTCTACATTCAGGGAATAATACAAGCGTATATTGAAAATACAAATTGAGAAAATTTTAAAAAGAAGGCTATAGCAACTTATATTTAGGAAAGAAAAATTATTGGAAGATATCGGATTTCAATTTTAATCTCTGATTTATTTAATGTTTATCAACTATCTGGAAATAAAACGAAGTAAATTTTCAGATTTGATAAAGGACCTGGAAAAGAGAAGACACAGATTGGTTCGGCTTCTCTTTTGTTACATGAAATACTGGGATCAAAGTGTAACAGGAAGACGGTCAAATTGTTGTAAGATATTTGCAAATTTTCCACATCTATTATTATTTCAAGTTTTTAAAGAGCTTTTTTTTTAAAAAAAAATTTTTAAAGCAAAATTAAAATGCAAATTTCACATTCACTTCATTTCAAGTATTGATATTTTACACCAATTTTTGTGTTTGAATTTTTTGTTCCAAAAGATTTTTGCTATTTTTTACAATTTATTACTTTTTTAATTACATATTTATTCTTACTACAAATTTGTTATTTTTTTGCAGCAAAGATGGAAAAAATTATGGTACGATAACAGTGACAGCTGAAGAAATGAGTAAAGGAAGGCAAGAATCAGTTTATTTTGTATGTAGCGCAACAAAATTGGATAGGAAAGATTTTCTGGGCAAATGTGATCCGTTTCTAAAAATTTCCCGAATCAATAAGGATAAAACGTAAGAATTAAATTTCAAATTTAGATGTAATATGCATTACGCTTATGCACAAGAAACTGCACTTTCGGTGCGTGAATTTCAGTTCTTATGAATAAGCTTAAGCACATCTTTTTCATCAAAGTAGTAACCATGACAATGAATAGATTACGAGAAATAAATTTGTTTATTTCCGTAGCATAGAAATCACTACTTTGAAATTCGGTGAACTCATTGAATGTATTTTCTTCCGATAATTACTCAAGCACATTACCTGGAAAATATTGCAAAGCTGAATAGTTATGTAATGAAAGGTGTAATAAATAAAGAGGATAAGACAAAATTTTATAACCCAAATGCATTTTTCAATTTCGAAACATTAATTATCTGATAAATATCAGCAGATTTTATCGTAAAAAATCTGACTTTGGCCCATGCTTTAACTAGCTTAAGGTGTTGTAGCTTTTAACTGTGAAAATTCAAAGAGCTACCGTAAAAACGGATTATCAATTAGTAGTAATGATCTCTCTTGATATGAATTAAAATTTGGTGATTGAAGTTTCTTGTTCCTTCATTCAATAAGTTGATTATTACCTGTTTATCATGCGTAAATGTCCAATCTAAAAATTTTTTGTTACAAGATAACTTTTTTTAAATTGTCATCAGCACATGAGAAAATCATTCATTAAATTTTTCAATTTACGATGATAAATAATTATAATTTGGTGAACAATGAATTCAACAACTATTTCTTGTGTAGCCCATAGCCAGCTCAAAGCTGAGCTTCAGTGATTATTCATAACTTCTTCAAGTTAGCCAAGTATGTCCGTTATGAATTTTCACCCCCCAAAATTTTTTAACAACTCTTGGACCAAATATCTTTATAATTGAGTCTAGAAGTTGTCCTTTTCTTAGGATGGTCCCCTAAGACTAATGAACCTATCCTATCCATTGACACACTTCCTCTTATCTTTTAGTTGAGATCTGTTTTGTTTAGAAAGGCTTATCGGATGGGATGATTCACAACTTGACTAGGGCATTCAAGTTCCTTTCCCATGAAAAGCGGCTGTCCACAGAGGAGTATTTTTAATATTAGAAGTTGCATCTATTTTTTTATGACCTATTTTAAGTTAAAAAAACAAACACAAAATTACTTCAATTTGCTTTTTTGTTTAATAGCATATTTTTAATTTTAAATAAATAAATATGAAAGAAATAACAGTAATAAATTATCAATAAAAAAAGTATGAAGGAAGGAATGCTCATTAAAATGATATATAATATAGCCAGCTTATTTAAGAATAATATCTCAATATAACGCAATAAGCTTCAACAATTCAACAACTTTTTTACTAAGCGATGTTTTATGTGAATCATTTTAATAACATTCAATTAATAATAACACATTAATTTCCTTCTGTTAAGCAATTTTTTATTTAAAAAAAAAAATCAATTCAATGTATTATTCGATTTTTGTTTAAAAGATTTTTGTGAGATCCTTGAAATATTGGAAAAAATGACCTTTGAGATATTAAAAAAAAAAAAACAAAAGAAATTTCCTTCCATCACTCACACCGTTGTATAAAGTTCTGAGAATATGTGAAAATGTTATTCTCTGGTTAAACTGTTTTTTTTTTTGGCATTAACTTTAATTTATAAATAATTTCCAAAAAAGGGAAAATAAATTTTTGCACGATTTCGATTCTTTTTGTTTTATTTTAAATAATGAAATATTTCTACTGTTTTTAGTAAACAAAGTTGTCTGAAACTAGAGAGATTCTTTATCAGATTAATATAAAGCGGAGAGAGAGAGAGAGAGATGTGAGATTGATAATACGTGAATAGTTTCTATTGAAATTTCAAAATAAGCTTTCTTCGTTTTTCAAAGAAAAAATTCAGTCAAATTTGAAAAGAAGAGAATAATGTTGCTGAATTTTTAATAATGCATATTTCCATTTTGGGATAATTTCAATTAAATTGAGTGAACATTTAGATATCAGCTGGCATACCGTACACGTTATCATGAACAAAATTTGAATCCAAAATGGAAACCCTTCGAAATACATATTGATCAACTTTGTTACGGTGATAAAGATCGGTAAATATTTCAAATTTTTAACTACGCAATTTTTTCCTGCAATCATTTATATAATGAATTTAGAGAAAAGAAGAGAAAAAGGACAAAAGATTTGCATTTTTTAATTTTAGGGAATTTCTTGTCGAATGCTTTGACTGGGACAAAGATGGGAAGTAAGTTTCATCGTTGCTAATGTTATTGATTATTTCGCTTTTAAATAGCTTTTAATAAAATTTCAATTTCAAAAATTTCAAATCAACTTTCAACAATTTTAGCCATGATTTGGTTGGTAATTGTCGTACTACAGTTAACAGGTTACTTAACAAAGAAGATGTCACTTTACCGGTTAGTTTGAAATATATTGTTACTCTATTGTATTCTCATTTTATTTGCTCTTCTTCATCCATCTAAATCATGACAAAGTTATTTGCATTACTTGCATGATCATTTGAAATATTTTGATGAGACTTTCAAATACTGGTTTAGTCTCCAGTTTTTAATCAAATTTAGAAAGATGCAAATTTAGCACTGCTAACAGGTATTTTTTATAACTTGTTATTATACTTTGTTGTTGCTGCTGTTGTTGTTAAGCGATAACTGTACTGAGAATTAACTGATATGTGTTGAAGCACTTAACTTCGAAAATATTCTCAAACAGTTTCCATGCTTAAATAAGCCTTTTGACGTAGAATTTGATGTGGAAAGAGAAATTTTATGTTTAAATGATTAATCAACCTGAGAGTTGTCTGGGAACTAGATGATTTGGTTGGAAAAAATGTGAGATGATACTCGAAAATTGTTGCTTATTCTGTAATTGATTTTCAGCTAATCAATCAGAAAAAGATGAAGAAAAACAAAAAATATGTTGATTCTGGACAACTTCACTTTCATAGGGTGTATTGTTGGATGGATTACACCTTTCTCGACTTCATAACTGGCGGGTAATGAAATTGTAAATCTTTTGAAAACTAATTTTATCTGGTTTTTTGCACTTTGAGTGTAAATATCGGACAGAAAGTGTTCAAATCTTAGCTGTAAAGGTTGAAATAATATAGTTTAAAGCTGATAATGAAAAAATCGTTGACAAATTGTTTTCGATGAAGTGTTAAAATTTCTCGGATTTAAAGTTGAATTTGGATGTATAAACAGTATAATTAATACAAAAACAGATTTAAAAAAAAAAAAATTTTCAAATTTAAAAAAAAAAAAAGACTTCAAATTAGACATTTAACTTTCAGAACTGAGCTCGAATTTACAGTGGCAATTGATTTTACGAAGTCAAATTTACCTTCCGGTAATATGGCATCACTACACCATGTTGATGATGAAAGTGCCAGTCAGTACGAAATTGCTATTCAAGCGATTGCCGAAATTTGCCAGTACTACAATAACAGTCAATTGTTTTATGCTTACGGTTTTGGTGCCCGTTTACCCGGCGATAATCGCGTCAATTTTCATTTTCCCTTGGTACTTTTTTTTTTTATGTATATAATTATATATTGTGTTTTATCATCTATAAAAGTTTGTTAAATCTTTGAATTATTTTCTAACTAAATCAAAATTTAAGGTTTTTTTTTCTTAAGAAAAGCATAAGCAGTATTTGTGTGTTAGATAGCAAAAGTTGCCTTGGTATTATAAAATTTTGAAAAAATTGAATTTCACAAAATGCTTTTATTATCAGTGAAAATTGCGTTTACTTCATGCTTTTTTCTTAAACCTTAAAAATGAAAAGGAAAAACTTAAAGAAATATGATTTTTTGATTACCACTTATTTGTCTCCATTTAAATTAGGCATTTTTATTTTCAGCTTGAATTTCATTCATTTTGAATAAAGGATAATCTATGAATTTTCCTAGCAATAATGTTCTTATTGAGAAAATTTTTCTTTTTTTGATTTAGTTAAAAGAAATTGAACAAATATTAAAAACTAATAATAATAGGTTAAATTAACGATTGAATTTCAGTCTAAGAAATTTAATTATATGAAAATATTTTGTTAGAGTAATCATCAAATTGGTAACGACAATAGGATATGATGAATATAGGATATATGAATAATATATGTTGATTTTTAGAAAATAATAAAATGAAAGAAATGGATTCATGATGAGAACATATAAATAAATATCAAGTTCAGAATTTGACAACAAATAGTCCAGAATGCATTGGAATGGATGGTCTATTAAATGCCTATCGTGATGCGTTAAATAGAATAGAATTGGCAGGGCCAACAGAATTTGGGCCAACATTACGGCATGCAGCACGACATGCAGCTTCGTTACCTCCGGATGGTAGTAGATATTCCGTTCTTTTAATAATCACTGACGGTGTTATCAACGATATGAATAGAGCAAAGGAAGAAATTGTAAAGGTATCACTTAATTTTTTTTTTTTTTACTGTAAGCATCAAAAAAGGATTGTGATAAATTTATTTGCAATGATTACTTCTTCTGGTCACAAAATTCCTGAGACGAGCAATGGTAAATGAATTAGTGAAATTGCCAAAACTCATTAAATTCATTTTCTAATTTTTTGTTTTGATAATTTAAGCACTCATTTAAGGCGTCATCACTGCCATTATCTATAATAATTGTTGGTGTTGGTTATGACAGTTTTGGTGAAATGAAGGTTCTAGACTCTGATCGACAAATGTTACAAGTGAATGGCAAATATGCAAAGCGTGACATTGTTCAGGTAATTTGCAGATTCTTCCTTCTCTTTCATTTGTTATATTTCGACTTCGGCTGTAATAGACACAAGTTTGAATTTACTTTTCTTTTCAGTTTGTGCAGCTTCGGGAATTCTTACCACCTCATCGTATCTTAACGGATGATGATTTGATCGAAGCTAAGTATCGTTTAGCTAAAGAAGTTTTACAAGAAGTAAGATGATTCAAAACATGATCAAAACATAACTTTTGCGTTTATTTACTTTCGGAAATTATCAATACTATGGTCCAAATTTTATGCATCCATTAAAATTTTCATGGAGAAATAAATTACTAAAACAATAAGGAAACTGTACCATCAACACTGATTTTTCTTTACTAAATGTAGTTTTGAACGAAAATTAACATTTAATTAGGTATTAATTTTTCTTACTTTGTTAACCATGAAGTTTATGCTTTTTCTAAAAAAAAAATAATGCAACTCACTGTTTCTATGCTTAAATGTCCATTTTTTCAGGTACCTGCACAATTAACAAGTTATATGAAATCAAAAGGAATATTCCCGAAACAGATTTGTCCCATTTCATGTGATGATGATCGAAAATTGTCCGTAGTAGAACGAGGATATCCAAGTATGGCATTTTTCTTTTGAAATTAAGCTTGAATTTTTAACTAACTAACGCATTATTTTTTTCGAAAGAATGACATGTTATACCACTAATCAAGAAATGCTAAAAAAAGGAATTGGAGGAAAAAAGAAAGAAACGAAGAGCTATAAGAATAATAAAATTTGTAGAAAAGAGTACGAAAGTTGAAAATGATAAAATCTACTGAGATAATGTGTAAAAGAGTGAAGTACCTGAATGAAGGTTTTGATTAGAAATTTAAATCAAACTATTTGCAATTGCTAATGATTGGTCGGTCACCTCTTTTAAGATAATCCTATGCTATTCAAGGAGGAAATTCCAAGGATTAGATTAACATTTTCTCTCAATGCTAACTGATCCGTTTTTTTTTTTTCTTCACGTGCACTATTTGTTTACGTGCAAGCTTATTGCCTCATTATCAGTAATGATTGGAATGAACAAAAATTGAAACGAGTGAACATATTTTAGATATTCAAACAACATCACGAACAAGAAGGCGTATGTTACCTGCAGTGCCATGTGAGGAAGTACAAAATATGCACATTAATCCAACTAGGTCTGCTTAAACAAATTTTAGCTCATTATTCATCTAGCAGTTAGTCTTCCTGTGATCACTTTTTAGGACCAATACTTGTTGTACTCTATCCAACTTTACAGTCGTCTATGATTACTTCAATTATGCTAAGCTTCATTTGATTTTATGCAATAAACAATCAAAAGCAAATTGACAACTGACTTTTTCTTTCTTTAGGATTTAGAATTCTAATGAAATCTCGCAATTTTGATCAGGAAATTCATAATTGCAGCAATGACTGAATGCCTGAATAGTTGGAGTATTGATTAATTGTATGCATAATTGGTTATGAAAATATGTTTGTATAGAGTACATTTGGGATATTAAATGAATATATTCACAGTGTTTTTTTTTTCCTTTTTTTTCTTGTTGACAATGTTCATTTATCAAATCAAATTCAGTGTGCCACAAAACTTCATATTTGCTTTGGGATGGAGAAATTTGTCTGCACATTTGGTGCATTTCATCTCGAATTTTTTTCTTCTACATTTCATAAATGACACTTTTAAAGCACTTGTTTCATTGCATAAAAAATAGAGAGCTTACAAATTTAATCTATAAATGATTTGTCTTTATAAATTTTCTTTTCGGTTATTTTAATGTTTTGTCCAATCTAAATTACTAATGAGAACTATTTAAATTTCTAATCGATATGACTTTCTGTTCCCATCACTTTCGCTGAAAATTACCTTTCTTTTGAAGTAAAACATGTTATGTCACTTCTAAGAAATAAAGCACTTCGATTTTCTCTCATTACTTTTTTTATCAAATTGACTCTACATTTATCAAATTTGAAAATAAAAATCAAACACAAACTCAAATCGGTTTGTCACACCATCAGAATCTGCCAGATTTCAATTTTTGAATAAACATTCACAGATTTTATGCGGGCTCCTGAGAAAACAAGTCAACTTTGTAATTTGGAATTCATAACAGCTTTCAGGTGGATGGAACCAGTATGCTTAAAAATATAACTTAATATATTTTTTAAAAAAAATAGAACGCAAAATTTGAAACAAAATTTGAATATGCAGCTATGCTATTTCCCGGCATATGTGTAATAGCAAAGAATTATATTACTCTCTTTTGATATATTAAATTTGAAATTTGACACACTTTAATTTAAGAACATTTTAATTTAAGTAAAAGATAAAGAATATCATATCAATGCCAAAAGAAATGAAAGGCGCCAAAATTTCTGATTAATGTATTTAGCACATTTCCAGGTGAATTTGTATTTGAACATAACGATGATTTCCTATCTTCAGAGCACGTTATGTACTTGTATTGTTGTAAATATCGACGATTACTTCACTTACGCTTAGCTTCCTTTGACTTTATTAGATAAGCAGTCAAAAGCAAACTAACAACTGATTTTTTCTTTCTTTAGAATTTAGAATTCTAACGAAATCTCGCAATTTTGATCACTAGATCCATAATTGCACCAATGATTGAATGCTTGAATGGTTGGATTATTGATTAATTGTATACATAATTTGTTATGATAATATATTTGTATTGAGTATATTCACAGTGAATATAATGACAATGCTTTTTTAAGTGTAAAACAAACAAATGTTTGGGAAAGGAGTGCATGGATGCTATACCAGCCTTCAACTTTCATACGAAGTACTTGCAACTAATGGAAAATGCACAATTTATCGATAGTTCAGAATTTATTCTTCTTACAGAACAAAAGTAAGAAAAATGACGATATTTCGGCCATTTTGTCTAAGCTACTTATTTCGTCTATTACTTTTGACGATTGTTTCTTGAGTGCATCGTATTTATTCTACGCTTGATGTCACTAAACTATTAGGATTCGTCCATTGCTTATATGAAGTAATCTTAATGCCAGAACGATGATATCGTCTAGATTTTATATGTATTATAAAGAATTTTTTAATTCTCATAAATATATTTATGCTAATGTTTGCAGTATTGTACAAAGTTTCATACAAAGCAACTCGACTTGTAAAAACCAAGCAAATTAACATCTGGATATCTCTTATGAATACTAAACATCATTTCTGACTGAGTGCGGTAACATTCTTGTTCCTTACATGACTTAACATTTAATGCAGGTTTTCTTTTCAGCGGAAAAACACAGACATTCTGACGTCTAATTCATGTCGTAGAAAGTTCTTATGAGAGTCTCGAGTAAATACCTTATCAAACCTAATTTAATTGTGAAATACAAGGTAGGTTATTATGCGACGAGAGTTCAAATGAAAAATATTGCTTGTTATATCATATCAACATCACTGTTCAGCAATAGAAGAAGAGGTGAAATTGTACGACAAGATGAAATTTATAAATTTCTCTTTAAAAAAAGATGTCTAAAAGATTCATGGAAATATATTAAAGCGGAATTAGATGCCACAAATTAGATGTAATATTGCCAATCCTCGTTTGATCCCAGATTTTAATAAGTGAAAAACAACTATACATGAAGAACTGTGCTAATCATATAAAAAATTTTGCATAAAATGCTAAAGTTTGGAGCTAAAGAAATTAGAAATCAGAAATTGTAATTTAACAAATTCTCTCATGGCGGGTGCACTTCCCCATATATAAAGCTAACTTTCCGCTGCACTCTCCCACTGTCGCGGATTTTAATATCACGAAACTCTAAATTACTACATGAACGTTGAAAATATGACCAAGAAATATTATACGAAATTTTGCAAATAATATTTATACCTTGAACTCTTTGTTTTCAATCTTATGTTTAGACTGTAAATATTTTATATATTGTTTACATGTTATCAGCTCCTAATTTAGTCCACCTCATTGTTGTGTCGCCACTAATTGTAAATTATCCTTGAATTTACGAGGTCAACAACTTTTGCTTAACTGATGTCCTTTGTGGCTTATCAATTAGTAAATAGATTGATTGTAACCCAAGTCAACAGCTCTTTATTTAATCATTTTATTGTAAATCATATTATTTTGTTTACGCTTGTTGCTTGCTACACAAGGAGGTCATCTTTGTTGAGAGAGGGCACTGTGTGTCTTACCAAGAACGAGGAAAGTTCAATTCTCTATCAAGTTATTGTACTATTGCTTCTGCTAATAAAGGATTTATATTCCTCTGTTATCCCACATACATCTACATCCAACGAATCTGCCCGAAATCAACAATCTCTCCCAAAACAAAAATTAAATTTCCAAATCTTTCATGACATCCACTGTGTTCCACTAAAAATACTCCTTTGACCGGGATCAGGTGCATTCTATTTTAATTGGCAGGAAAAAAAAAGTTGCACAGTGGGTTGGGTTATGCAGTGGTTGGGGAGAAGAGAGCTACGTTTGATGTGAGGGAAAAGTGGGACGCAAGTGTTTGTGGGTAAGGGCTGGATGTGTTTTTCCGGAAGTCAGTGTTGGTAAGGTAGACTTGTTGGGTAGTGATTTACGTGCTCACCCTCACGTGCAGTGAGCTTTCAGTGTCCTGTACTGGAAAGATTCTCTTTTTTCGGGATTCACGTTACACTGTAATAAGTTTCACTGCAGAATTTAATAGATGTGGGAGCTTGAAGTGCAGCATTTAACACAGTGCTGTAAGGAATATCCCGGTAGGTGGGCAGTAGTCTCAGGAAAGAATTTGATGATTTCAATTCTGGTCTGATTATTTTATAATTCTTTATTGAGTTCAAGTGAATTTAGTTGAGAAAAAAAAAATGGTGAATTGTTTGTTGTAGCGACTGCAAGGCCGGGCCTTAAAGGTGTTTCATATTTAAAAGAAATGTTTCGTAATTGCAACGAAAGAAATCATCAGTCCATATTCCGTATTGGTGTTTATTGTTCATGTTGATGTTTAATTTTTCCTTGCTCGTAGTTTCTAATTGAAAGCTGAGCCCCATATTTCGTTTAGGTCTGTACCTCTTTGATTTTTCTATTATCTTCTTTCTTAAATCTGATGTTATCTTCATAAGATTAAACAGCATGCAAAGTGGTCAGTTAATATAAGGAAAACGATGTAATGATGTAATCTAATAGATTAAAATTTTTGTCATTTGTTGATTAGACCTGTTTTTCGTAACGGTTTCTGTTGCATGTATTTTTTGAATACCTGGACTTCAATAATTTTATAAAATATACATTTTAGAACAACCTTTGGCCGAGGGAAAGTGGAGAGGAGGTGGAGGAATCAAGAAAAAAAAATAAATAAATTTAAAACAAATTTAAAAAATAAAAAAGATGGACGGGAAGAACGAAATGGGCGAGTGGAAAAGAACGACTGAACAGAAGTTTTCGCAGCCCGACGCAAATATGGTATGGAAGTGGGTGAGTTTCTTTTCTTTCACTATTACTATAATTTCTTTGTTCTATAATGGTTTCTGAGTTTTTGTTAGGTAAACATGAGCGAAAAAGCAGAAAATCCTTTAAATGACATTAAGAACGTTGAAGTAGAGCCTGTTAAAGTTCCGGAATTTAATGTTCTCTGAGAGGGAGTGAAACATGAGTTATTGTTGTTTTTCAGGTGGACCGGTTGTACATGTTCAAGGAAGGTGGAGTGGAGGTTGGCGGATTTTAAAAAATAAAATGAAAATTCAAAAAAATTAAAAGATAAGAAAAATAGAGGAAATAAAAATATAAAAAGGAAAATGAAAAAAAAAAAAAGAAATAAATAAAAAGTTATAAAAAAATGATAAGATAAAGATCTAAAAAGAAAAATGAAAAAAAAAATAATTAAAGAAGATAAAATTAAAAAAAAATTAAAAAAATTTGAAAAGAATTTGAAAAAAACAAAAACTTAAAAAGTAAAAAAAAAAGCAAGTGGATGGGTGGACAGGAAGGAGGAACAGGCGAGTGGTAATAAGTGGGATCAAATGGACACTGGTGTCTCAAGTCGATGATTGGTTTGTTTCTTTTCTTTTCTGTTCAGGTAAACGTCGACAGGAGGGTGAAGAGTTTTTTAAATTTCAAGGTTATCTAAAATTTTAAGTTCCCTAAATTTTAAAGTAATATATGAATAATGCAGCAATCATTGTTATTTTTCAAATGGATCTGTATGTAGAAGAGCGAAGGAGGGTTGGAAGTTCTCATTTATGTAAGGAAGTAAAATTAGCATGCAATTGTTTGACAATCTCATTCTAAAATTTTGCGAATCTAATTGGTCTAATTTAATTCAATTTTAGGAAATCGAGGACAAAAATTAGTGTTCTTGCTGCTTCACCGGATGTCATCATGCTTTGGTCCATACGCAAACGAATAGGATTGATCAATTGTAAAATTACGGCTGCAATCTAAGTGTTAATTTCATTGTGAATATCTTCCAGGCTAGTAGCCAAACTAATATTTGCTTGTTGTTTAAGAGGTTGTTAGCTGTATTCTACTGACTTGTTTGTTGTCTTTTTTTTTTCTGTAAAGATGCATGTTAATGCTCACTATATAAAAATTGAAGTCCATTGTACTCATTTCTTTTTTACTACTTCAACAATTGTTTCTTGTTTTATTTTATTTGCCAAATAAAACTTGTCTCAAATCCTTTGTGTTATTCTACACTGTTGACATCCTTACCTAAGCGAATATCATCTGGATCATTGAAAAGAAACACCACAGAATAATTGAATCTATTATGGTAAACCACAACTATCCTATAACGTCCAAGTATAAAACCTCTCCTAAAGAAATCAACCTGCACCAAATATTCGGCTGTACTAAACAGAAGCAATCTTAAAACAAAAATTCATACCGGCGGAAGGTGAGGAGGCCTCGAAGGATTTAAAAAAGAGTGCATCAGTAGGAAGATTTCAATTTGAATAGATTTTATTTGGTGTTTCTTGAATAGATTCGATCCGTCAAATTCGGTAAGTCAGCAACACGAACAATTGTTCGACAGAGTAAAGGTGTCAATTTATGGAAGCCATCCTTGAAATCTTCACATCAACATGTTTATGAATCACTTATGTTATATAGAATCTCTATATTCATACAACAAAAGTAACATAAGTTACCCATTCAACTGTAAAACTTATTTTTAGCACCACAATTAGACTTTCACTGCTTGCGTAAGAAAATTTTATCAGATGATATACAAGACTAGCTATAATGTAGTTAGTAAAACGCAGAAATTATAAGGCATATTTTTATATGCATTCCTGTCGACTAGTAAGGAGAAAAATATCCAAGAATATATCTCTCATTTTCTACAATTTCAAAATTTTGCACAGCAATAATCATAAGTCCTCTTCGAAGGGATTCTTGGAATCATCATGAACATCAAAAGGATTGGTAGATTGCACAGATTTTGCTGTATCTGAATTCATCGTTTTTGGAGTAAGAAAAGGATTATATATTGTTGTGCTCATTGAAATTGTTTTTTCGGATGACTGATCCTCGAACTGATTTACATTTATTTTGTTCATTGCACTAGTATCCGACTGAGGACCCTTTGACCACGGATCGAAAAGTCCGTCACCAATATACGAAGAAATGAGGGTCATACAATCGACTGATTCGTTTACCTAAAATTAAGTGTCATGTATTAGACAATCAATATAACACTACTCGATCATCCTTTTTTTTTTTTTTGTTTTGACTCATTTAACTTTCGTCTTTTTTTTTTTTTTTTTTGACTCATTTAACAAACAATGTTAGATCATAAAACATATACCTCATTCTGAAATTGAATATAAGCGCTACGTGTGGAGAAATCTTTCCCATTATCACTTTGCATCCTAAAAATCCATAAAGTTAATCAATACAACTTTATCAATGAAGTCATATTACGTAAAATCATGCATAAATTTATGAAATGATATAAAATGCTCTGTAGTCTTTCTACCACTGAAGAATCAAGTAATTGTTATTAAACCTTTCATTAAAGCTGTTTCGTATACAAGCTGGGCAATAGTCAGCCTTTTCACTATATGATTCCAGGCAGTGAGCATGGTAGGAATGTTTGCATAGGAAATGTACAGCAGGTAGTTGAAGAGAGGTGTCACATGCAGAACATTTGTTCATTTGAAAAATTTGCACTCTGCAAAACTAAACAAAATTTTCGAGTCAAATGACGTAATCAATTATTTAGATCTACAGTCGGTAAAGATATAAAGCTTTTAAAATACGAACTTGTAAGTAATACTGTCAATTTGTTCCTCAATTTCGGCCATTTTCGTCTCCTCTTCGAGAATGGCTTCTTCATCCTTCTCAACCTCAAATATTCACTTACTAATGATTAAGAAACAAAATTGTTTATTCATTTTTTAACAGCAGTTTAACAATGAACGATCCCCAAAATAATATGTATCCTTTTCCACGAAGAGCCACACTACCACCACAAAAAAAAAAAAAAAAACGGCACTGGCTAAACAAATGGATGGCTTAATACTAATAATTACAGGAAAAAAAGAAAATACAAACTACATCAGTTACCGAAATTGAATACAATTAGAATTAATATGTTACTTCAAATTCAAATTAAGATATGGAAACACTGTAGATATTATCATTTATGAAAAATATCTGAGTACCTGAGCATTTTGTTTCTCCATCCAATTGACAATATAATCTCTCACGTGACCAACACAAATTTTGTCACTTTTAGAAAGAATTTCGAGAACAACGAGTGGATGGATGCTATTCGTCGCCTCAATTCTGCAAGCAAATAAACAAACTTGATGAAAAAAGAAATTAAATTTCAGTCCGAAAAATTACACCCAACAATCTAACCGTTCAAGTAAAAATTTTATTGCGTCGGGATCTACATCCTTTCCACGAGAAGCGAATACTACTGTGTCGATCCATAGGTCACGACTGCTGAAGATAACAGTTATTGTTACTTGCTCAACTTGAAGTTGTTGCAAAAGCCAAAAAAGATTGCACAAGTTTGCTTAACTCATGAAGCTATAAAGGTCTGAAATGAGAGAAAAGAATTTAAAACAAACTTTTTTTCTTCACAAAATTCAACAATTTCTCTGAGCTTATTTTGTCGCATGTAGTATTCGATAAGTTTATCATATCTAAAAAATTTAAACTAATAGATTAAAATACCGAAAATTATTGTGCAGTTTACCTCTAGTAATCTTTACAATTCTACCTTTTCATCTTCTTATATATATAAATGATTCCAGGGATATAATTGAATAGTTGACATAATTCCAAGGATTCTTCCAAATTTTCGTCTGTGATTAATTCCATAATTTCCTCATCATGATTAGGCGTATCATGAAACGTAGTAATCAGAAATTTTTGACTAACAAATAAAAGAAAATGAAAGATAGCCATGCTGAATAATAAAAGTATTAGCAACAATCATCAATTAAAACCATATTCCCGCAATACAACCCAAACCCAATAAAGAAAAACCTCGTCACGTAGTGCCCACTGACGAAGGCGAAGCTCCAATAGTAAATTACGCAACTTTTCATTATTTTTCTTATCCTGAAAATAGAATAAACTGAATAGATAAAAGAACACAAAAAGTGCGTGCTACATAACAGGCGACATCACACCTAAACTATCTGTTAGACATGACAGTCCTTCACTGTTTGTGCATAATGTTAAAATCTTGAAATATTGTCCAATAAATTTCAGTTATTTTGAACTCAAAGCATAAGATTCAAAAACTGAATACCTTCTTTAGTGCTGTCTCTATGAATCTGGTACATTGTGTAGGTAATCCAATGAAAACCTTCATCAGAGCAAGAGAATTAATTTGACCTGAAATTTCACCACTTCGATTCCCTTTTCTTGGAGGCAAATATCATCAACGTACCCGTAAAAAACGTCAATCACCAAACTTTTAAGATAGCGATCCCATAACTTTCACTCAATTATGATAAACCGTTGCAATTAGAAAACAATAAACCAGGAAAGCGCAACAGTGTTATTTTGTACTATTATGTTATTTTATACCTTCATAATAAATAATCAAACTACCAACTGAAACATGCTTTATCTGACAACAACTTCATCGTCTCTTCAGGGCTGTTTATCAATAAGCATTTTCCGAATTTTTCCAAGCATTCCTCAATCTGAATTTGAAAAACTGTGAGTGAATTTCACTCCTCTTTCCCAGAATACTTATGAAACAACTGATACAAAATGTTCTTACTTTAATAAAAAAGAAAAGACCTGCGGAGTTTCTAGTTTAGCAATGTATTTAAGCGCAGATTTATAATCGGCTCGATCTTCAATCAAGATACTTAATAGCGCATCATGATGCTTATGCTTCGCGCAGAGATGACATGCTTCAGTTGTAAAATTTGCTGCACGCAGCACCTATGTTCCAGTTATTCAAAACTTTTTTTTGGATCATTAAACTTAAAGTTAACAATCAAGAAAGACAATGTAATGCAAAAGAACGATTCAAAATAAAAAGTGTAATTATTATTTAATCTGTGTGATTTAATGATCAAACACTTTCTTGGTTTTAAAAAAAAAACACTTAAACTCTTGCAGGTGAATACCGGTTATACATTTTACGTACTGCAATGTGTTAACGACAGAAAATTTTTTTTTTTTAACTAGTTTTTAAAATTTCAAATAATACCTGAACAGCTGTTTCAATATTGCATTCAAAATTACGGTCAATAAAATCACGAATTTTATCATGTGCTGTCAAACGAGTATAACAGTTCAATAATATGGTCGTGTGATGACTGTTTGCCTTACCTTTAGCGTGAAGTACTTCTAAATACATACACAATTCTTTTATATGAGAACCATCCAGGAACTGAAAATTATTATGCTTGAAAACACTGATTAATAAAACTATTACCTCAGTACAAACAAATAAATGCACGTAGTAAGCAATATGATACGTAAATTGTGAAACTGGGAAATTATCTGAACCAAAACCTTTTTAATAACATATGATGGTTCTAGGTATCCGACAGTTTCCGTGTACTGCTGTACTGCATTTTCAAAATCTCCACTTCTAGAATAAATCATTTAAGCAAATAAAGATAAGTTAAATTACATAACATAGCATATGGGTAATCATTCACATACCTGTACAAATAATCACCATATTTCTTATAAATTTCAGGAAGATGTTCCGAAGAAACTGAACTTCTCTTGGCAACCCTGTAATTTGCAGAACACAAAATTCCAAAATATAAAGTGAAACAAAAGGGAAAGATTAAAGAAATAATGTAGAACATCGAAGAATAACTGACCCAACAGCGAGGTCATACAAATTTTTCTTGAACAAAATATCCAATTTTGAACTAATGCTTTTTTCTGTAAGAGCTGAAAGTGTTCCATCTTGACTAAGCACCATTAACACATTATCCAACAAAAAC